CATTCTTCTTTTTACATGCATTCTGTAATCCCTTACTCATCCACGGTTTCCCACTGTAATTCCTTTTGTTTTTATACTGCTTACGAGGACAGTTCCTGTCGTATACTTTCTTAAATATATTTAAAAATTGCTCATATGCTTTATCTAAGTCTTCCTCTCTGTAAACTGATTCCCAGTTTTGCCCCATAAAATCCTCTTTTAGCCTCCTTACAGCATGTTCATTCGTCACCCTCCTATAGAAAAGATTTGTTTTTGGCCTTTTTTTTCTATACTGGCCATCATAAACCACAAATACTGGTAGATGATCACTAATATAATTTAGAAGTAATCCACTTGTCATTTTGCTGTCAATAACATTGGTAAATATATTATCTATTAGTGTTGGATGCTGGGTTGTTACTCTACTTGGTTTTGTAATTTTTGGGTATAAACTGCATCTATATATTGTGTTAATAAACTCCTCAGTTCCTGTGTGCTTGTTAGAATTTAACAAATCTATATTGAAGTCACCACATATGAACATTAATATATGACTTATTGTCAAGTAATTTTCTTCCATCCATATGACAAGATGTTGTAATTAGAAGAGTTGGTCAAACAAAAGTAATAGAACAGCAACAAGGCTTCTATGATTTAAATGAAGGTGTTAAAGTACCACACCATTTTAATAACATCAGGTCAAATAACTAAGCCTTATCACAGGAATATGGCCCGACTCTGATATTTCTCTCAGCTCTATAGTAGTTTTTTAATTAGAATTTTTTGCTTCACTCTTACTGCTCCCTTAGTGCTTTTCAGGCAGCTGTTTTCAAAAAGAAAAACCTTCTAGGAACCCACTGTACACCACCTGCTCAGCACCAAACAGCAGACAGACACAGTTAGAGATTAGCCAGTGAGCATATGGAGCACATCACAGCTAAAGACCAGGATGTGTCCCAGAGCAGTTGGAGGACACTAAAAAGTGTTCATATTGGACTCACAGTTGTACCATGAACTGAAACATTACTGAAAGTGAATGCCAGTGTTGTTCTGTATTTGCTGGATGTGTAAAGAAGCCACTATTTAACCTATAAGCCCGGCGCCTGTTTTGGGGGTGTTAGGTATTTTTAGTCAGATAGAAATTGGATAGATACTTTATGTATTAGAAATGTTTAGTGGAGATAGGATGTCTAGTTAGACTGTTAAATGCTTAGACATGCTTATGAGTTTCTACAGGGTACATCTGGTCAAGGATAACTAGAGAGAAGAGTTGATGACTGTCAGCAGACAGGGTGTTTAATATTATTATTATTATGTGTATAACTGTAGCCTTAGCCATAATATGTTCTTATGTTTAAGTCACGACATGTACTAGACACACATTCACACATTGATTTGCTTCATGTTTTGACTACTGCTATGACCAGCTGCAGAGCTGGCAACAGAGACGTCTCGGTTGACGTTTCTGTGTAGTATGGGGCTAGCCCAACCGAGGGGATATAATGTATAGGCCTGGTTTGGTTCAGGGTCTTTTCATCTTACATCTGCCTGCGTGCAGGATAGAGGTGCAAGATACTTGAGCGTGTAATGTTAGTTTTACCTGTGATCCTTTGAATAAATCAGCACTGTTTTGAAGTTATTTGGACTGCCTCGTCTCTCAGAGTTAGCAATGGTAACAAGAATCATATCTTACAGGGGATTTAAATCGACGGCGCCTCCCCGAAATAAATATTTGGTTACTCTTGGTGTCAAACGAAAGGGAACACTTGTGAGATTTGTCAGAAGGTGTAAATACCTTTAGATGTTTTGTTTTTGAAGAGTAAACAAAGATGGAACACGACACAGCCAGAGATGACGCTCTCCTTATTTGCAGGACAATAGCTTGGTCCCAGATTTCCGCATACAGACAAATGACCCCTCATTGGATTCCTCTCGACCTATAGAATGAGGCTATCGAGTTTGTGACCTTATTGACAGCATTGTGGACCAATGGCAGTCGATAAGACCGCACCATGGGGGGAGGGGGGTTTCTGGCCAGCACCAAGGTAAACCTGTTTCTCTCCAGCCAGAATCCTCCTAACTTAGAAATAATGGTCTTTTCCAAACCGACGCCATTTTGTGAGTCAGGAAATGCAGTGTTTGTGTCGGAAAAACTTATTTTTCTGCATAAAAACATCACAGGTAAGATGAGAAATTTCGCTGTACTTTTCGCGAATCGATGTCTGTTGTTGAAGTTTGTTGGCTTGTATCTCTGTAACGCTTTTACGTAGCGTTTTTACCGATGCATTTATGGAATCTGTGAAGTGTGGGCTTTATTTAGCGGTGTTTTGATGGATTATAGTCGTTAAAATATGAATTGTATGCCTGGCACAGTGCCCCCTAGGTGACCTGAAATGTTGCTTTATTGTGCTTTATTGCTTTTGCTGTGTTTATTGTGTGGAAAAATGAATGACGTTGTAGCCAAGGTTTCACTGAACATTTTGATGTATACATTGTTGGGGGTCGGTTATCACCATTCACGTAGCATTCCGTGATTTTCCGTTAAGCCCGAGCGGACCCTCATTAGGGTCCGATAGGGTCTATAGATGTCCTTGAAGAGCAACAAGTTAGCCATAGCTACAAAGGTTGTCTTGTTTCCCCTGACCCTAAAATCTGTTACTGCTGCAAATAAACCCTTAGTTTTTCTATATTTTATATTGTTTTAATATTTCACTGTTTTTGTCTGATGCATTATACAGTACACATCTCCCCAAAGGACCATTAACATGGATGTGCTGACTTCCTAAAGCAGAATACACCCTGGATCTCAGGGAACCTCACAGAGTCTAAGTACGTCTTTACCCTTTTTAAAGAATTGAACAGCTTCCCGGACAAAGTAAATTCATCAACCTAATCTAAAGTGCTCAGCATTCTCCAACAGTCTGCTGGCATTTGAAACACACTCCTTGTTAACAAATGACCCTCATTTGTAGCTGAAGTGGAGGGGCTGCCGTGGCTGCCCATGGGGAAGATTTCCTACATGATGGATATAAATCTGCTCAAGTCATCACATCTCATTGGCCTATGACTTAGAGCCTCTCTTAGCTCATTAGACAGGCACTGCTTTTGGCACTGAGTAATTGCAAATGTATCTGGTGAATCAACTCCTGCAACTGGCTTAGTAGTCTGTCACAGCCCAATGGTCTGTCTTCGCTAATGTTATGCTTAGGATGAATAACTCATTTGTTTGAACTGGGGCCAGTTTAGTGTGAAGCTCGAGGTGTTTCAAATATAAAACAAAACAGGAGGGATCAAAATAACTTCTTTAGGCTCCTTTTTTTTTTTTGCTTTTGCTATAGTGAACTCTGAAACTGCACCGCTGGTTCAAATGAAATCTTTGCATTGCCAGTGACAGTTCTGGAGAATGCTGCCAGCTCTGACCATCAGTGCCAAAAGAGGGACTAACTGTGAACAATATCTCAAAACCGGAGGAGAAAACAAACATCTTGTCACATGTTGCTAAAGAGAGATCACATCTCTCCCATATTAGCTTCTGTCTACTGGCCCCCTGTAAAATCCAGAATAGAATTTAAAATCCCTCTCCTAACATACAAAGCCCTTAATAACAAGGCTCCATCGTATCTTAAAGACCTCATAGAACCTTATCATCCCAACAAAGCACTTTGCTCTCAGAGTGCAGGTTTACTTGTGGTTCCTTGAGTCCACAGAAGTAGAATGGGAGGCAGAGCCTTTAGCTATCATGCTCCTCTCCTGTGGAACCAGCTACCAGTTTCAGTTCAGGAGGAAGACATCTTCTCTACCTTTAAGGGTTCTTCCTTTATAATAATACTAATAATAGTAAGGTCTAAACCTTACTTTGTAAAATGTCCTGAGATGACTGTTGTTGTGATTTGGTGCTATACAAATAAAATTGATATTAATTTAAAAACTGAATTAAATTTACATTTACATCCATGTGCAAAAACAGTGGGAAACGTCTCAGCAGGATGTCAGCATGCACACCCCTCTGGCCCAGGTGTAGAGTGCACCCAAAGCTTGGGAGGAAATGGCACCCTCTAGTGGAATGCTAGCAGCATAACAGCGGCAGTTTTCTCCAACTGAACATCTGAAAGCTGCATCATAGACATCAAATAATGAAAAGGGTGCAAGAAAGCAGCTCTAGTGAGAGTTTATGCATGAAAGTATTTTCATATTTGGCTGAATAAGCCCTACATAAATTGGATTTGGGTTTTTAACTAGTCAATGTCAGTTGGACAACTCTAGGAGTCTGTCACCTCATGTTTTGCTCTATTTTTTAGTTTAAGGAAACAGTGACGAGTCTGTGATAGGTGCTAAAGCATTTTAGGGTGGATCAGACCCACCACTATGTACACACAGGTCATGGCTCCAAAAATGTAAAACAGCAGTGAGAAAAATAAAGAAAAGATAAACACAAAACATCTATAAACACCACTGAACCAATATACTGTATAAAATGTTCCTTCCATAAAATTAAAGATATGGGGCACTCCTCTACCACCTGTCTCCCTGTAGCCTGTTGTGATGTCAGTGGGCATGCCAGCAGATCACCTGCCAGTGGTAAAGCGCTGCCAGAAGTTCTAGCATTTCGACAATGACGGATGACACTCCCGTATCGCTTGCAGGTATGTTTGAAACCGTCAGTCTGCAGGTTGAATGGCAGGTGCTGCACTCTCTGCACGCACAGCAGCAGTAACTCTATTAATTATTTAAGTGTTTTGATGTGCTAAAGTGATCTTAACATAACCTTGTGCCTAAATGCTTTTCTGCACAGTAAACAAGTCAGCTGTTACACACAGTAAAATCAGTGGGAACAAACAGCTGCATAACACCAACACTGACATCCTAGAGTGGCTTTGATTTTTCTGGTTTTGTAAAAACAGGAAAACAGAATGACACATTTGAAAAAAGCCTTAAATTGAAGAAAGACTTAATCCCATGTGGATGTTTAATCCCTGACAGTGCCTTTGAACTCTACAAATACACAATAAAGAGAATAGACCATTTAAAATCTTTCTTTTACCAAATGTAGAGACTGCTTTCTAAAGTTTGGACAGAAATAAACTCTTCTTGCTGATCCACTAGTGCCCTCTTTAATCTATTCATACATTAGATGATTAAAAATTTCCAGCCTACATCCTCTCAAGTAAGACCTCATTTGGTTCTTATTCAGATCCAGATCTGTATTAGCTTGCCTTCTTACCTCCCTCCTCTGTCCTTCTTACTCACTCAGTTTTTTCTGTCTTCTGCTCTCCCTCTCCATCTGCCAGGGTCAGCAGAATGCAAAGAATCACATTAAGAAGTATTCAAATGTTTGAACTAGTTGCAATTGTTATTCATATACAGCTACCGGATATAATTCATCTCAGATGACATCACCACCACAGCCGTTCACCCAGTTGGCAGAGATAATACAAACCACACATAGGGTGGCAGGAGTTAGAGAAACCATCTCCTGGGTGTAAGCGATACACAGCGATCGAGCCATTGCCCACAGAATGATTTTAACCAAGGGGGATTAAAAGAGAGGAACCAAGGCCAAGTGAGTTCACTTCATTTCTTATTCTACCAACTGCACTGAGATTAACAAGGCTGTGATTTCTTCTGCCATGAGTTATAAAGGGGAACTCATAAAGAACAGAGTGATTAATGCACCAGAGATGATAAATGGCAGATTGTCAGCTTTGCTTTTAAGCAAAGACCTTTACAAAGTACGCTTCAAAGTACACGTTCTGGTAGATTAACAATGGACATGGAGGTGTTCTACGTCAGAAAAATGAATGATGGCGCTGTAGTTAAAGCACGCAACAACAGTGTTGCACGGCCAGAGAGCTCACTGCAAAACAAGAGTCAAATCTGGACAAAGAAGCATCATAAAACACAAACATCCACAGACTTACTCCCACAAAACACTTGACTTTTAACTTGGATCTTTACACATGGATGGATCAGCGAACGGTCCTACCCAATCAGGGGTCCCCTAGACCAGAGAACTGTGAAAAGACTGGTAATCCTTCTATTGGAAACTCAATCAAATGACCACAAAACAAATAAAAAAGACAAACAATGAAGAACAATAAATGGAAAACAACAAAGCACAGATACAAAAACACTAAAAAAGAGACAAAAAAACAACCCCAAAATATGCAAAAAAGCAAAACATGACAAATGGCGAGAACAGATGCAAAACAAATCCAAAGCGAAACAAAACAACCACAAAAAGCCTCAAAGTGTAGAAGAATGTATCATATGTACCAGTACTACATCCTAATGCATACTGGTGGTGTCAGCCAGTAATAACCGCTGTGTACCACAGTGTGGTGCTCTGTGACAACAAAGTGAACAACATTTTCAGACACATACACATGATCCCATGATCCTCAGTTACTCTACATACGAGGAGACGAAACTGACGCTGTCTTGACCCATCGTTTCAAACCAAATTAACTCTTGATGAATTTCCCCTTTTGTTATAACAAGCGCTCATCTTGGCAGAGACTCAAATTTCATTTGACAGGAGAGGTCCCACAACTCTCAGTAATGAAGGCAACCCATCTTCCCCTGTTAGATGAGGTGCATAAATACAGACACAGCTCATTAATAATTCTGTCACACAGGTAGACTACGGAGAAAATGGTGACACACTTTACAACTCAAGCACTCTGAGTCCCGAAACCTATCAGCGGCAAAGGCCCACTGATGGGTACGCACGAAAGCCTGAAAACTAAAACCTTGGTATTGATTCTACAAAATGTAAATCTACACTAGTAATCCTGTTTTTAGTGCATTTTTTACCCATCTATCATTCAGTTCTAGTCATCTTGTGTGTGAGTTCCACTTAGTGATGATAACTATTCCTCCTTTTATATAGTCATTAGTTTTGCCACACGTTTACCACTTCAGTCTTCTCCATCAAGGCTAAAGGTTAATGGGGATGTGTGAGCAAGCAACAAGAAGCTGTCAAGGTTAGCAATGCACTTCAAAACAACTGCTACCTATTAATGACAGCCCCTCCCTGAATTTATGCAGCTTTCATTTGCATTTTCCTTGTAGACACAGAGCTGACAGCTGTGTGTTTTCCCTCCCCTCGCTCAACAGCTGCAATGGACGTTTGGTCATCCTGTTGGCTTAGAGTATCTCAGACTTGAACTACTAAACTCTTAATCTAAAATGCATTTGGATAACCGAGCGAGCAGGGAGTTCAGTGTCTTAATTAAATCTACACTGAATATGCAAAAATATTCAGGAAACTTTTTATAAAGAGGTCGATCCAGGTAGAAGCCAACATCCCTTACTGATTTCTCTAATTAAATCTCTAGCAGTCACAAGGAGGTGACAGATAAAGAAGAAGCTGAGCTTGAGTAAAAGAGTTTAAATCTTAGAGATAAGTGAGAATGTTCAAAAAACGGCTGCCAAAATATTAGGACAATGTGGCTGATGTTTTGTGGCTGCTCATTCACTTCCCAAAACAGCACAGGCTGAGGTCTAAAAAGGCCAAGTGGTCAGTTTTGTTATGCACCACTGCTCTAAACAGTGCTCCAAGTACCTTGGGATGGTTATGGTCTGACTGTAAATTGTATCTGGATGGTGTCAGAGAGGTTACTCCTGGCTGCAGCTAATGCAAAGTGTTGACTGCAATAAACTTGAGGTTGTTAACCGCCCTCATGTTCAGCGTGACCTTTAGCAGACAGTGCACCCCAAGTGCTGGGTCCTGCACTCTAACCGTGAGTCAGTATTCCACACTAACAACTGGATGCAATGCTTCACAAACCCACAGCTTTGCAGCATAATTGGCGAGAAGGCCTTGTGAGTAAGAGGATGAAAGCATGAGAGAGTGAGAGAGATGGAGGGAGAATAATTACAAAGTCAAAAAAAGGAAATGTGAGGGGAAAAGTAAACAGCTAGAAATGACTTGGGGCAAGGTTATGGGCTCTTTTTAATGTGATTTTGTTTATACTGTCCATCTTCATGCTGGGGGTAAACTCCCCAGTGAGCCTTATTTTGTGCACTAAGCAGGGGGAGCAAGAGGGGCCACGCTGCAGAGCCCTGAGTGTGGGTCCACATAAACCCTGCGGGGTCGCAGTAATTATCACTGCATGTCTAATCACAAGTCAGGAAGCATTACTCACACAATACGTCACCATTTATTGTCTGGATTTCTCTTTCGTTGTTCAGTCTGAGGTGCACATTGACAATTACGACGTGAATTAAGAGGCAGACATGACTGTCTGGATCAATTATTACGAAGTGTTAAAGGGCAGATTTTCCATTCTGGAGGTTTGTGCGAGGTCTGTTATGAGGGTTTGTTTGTTTAGCTGATGTAAAGGTCAAACTGCAGTGGTCTCTGTGCACTTGTCACAACACGTTATTCTTACTGAAGTATTATCTCTCAGCCTGAAGAAGTAAAGACAATGCTCTTCAGTTAATGGGCTTATTCCAAATGTGTTGTCTAAACATAACAGGCAATGCACCAACATGCATATCTAGCATATGGTTTTACTTCTGTATTATAAAAAGATCTGCACAGTACGAAACAGAACTCTTTGATTATGCATGGGGAGCAATTATCTTTTCTTCAGTGGTCCAAAGACAGTCACACTTTCTGTCACTGTCTCTCCCTCTTTCGTTCTTTCTCTGTAGATAGCTGTAAAAATAATGAGTGCATCTTAGCCAGGATGCTTGTTTGGCTTCAAGCTAATCCTGTATCTCACTGTCCCCACTGTTCATCTCACAGTGGGCCTGTCATTTTATTTACTAACTGCTATCAGCTACAATAAAAGACAGAAGCTTCAGAGAATGTCAGAGAGCTAAAGGAAAGAAATGGGACTTGAGAGGTGGCTGGTTGGTCAGCTGGAAGACATGAAGACAGGAATGAAAATGGGTTCTGCTACTGACTCATGTCAGCACCAATGTTATACTTCAGTTCGTGTCACAACCTGAGGCAGGGAAAGTTTCTTTTGAAAGGAGTTAATCACTTCACCTCCTTAAAAAGTCATTAGTTGCACTGCAATATTTCTTCAAGATTTATGTGTTCATAAATGTGATTTGGTGACAGAGGCTTTAGTTTCTTACTGTGTTTCCCTTGACCTGATTTTATGTGCATTTTCTCTTTGCACATAAAAAGAAAAACCTCACTGGAAAGTTTTTATGCTTGGCTCTAAATTTCCCTTGGGTTTTTCAGCATTTGAGGTTTGACTACAGCTCTTGTGTTACATGATCTTAAAGGCAGCACACTGAAGGATCAGATGTGAATTAATGTAGCTAACTCATAATATCTGCATAACAGTAATAGATGGAAACAGATTCATTCCCATTTTCTTTTATTGCTTATTGTTGACTGTTTGGTGAAACTTTGCTCTACATTTGAATGGAACCATGACCTGTGTTTGGGGTTTATAAGAATGTGCAGTTCTCTTTTTATCTAATGTGATTTAAACCCAAAATGTAGGTTTTAAAAACTAAGCTTCCCTCTTGGAATCAAGTTGACAAAACACAAAAATGACGTTAATTTTTTTCTACTAAATGGTCACAAACAAAGGAATACACAGAAATGTAGGGTGTGCTATCCTACACGGTGACGTTACTGTACTTACATTTAAGGTCAGTTAGACTTAGGTATTAAACATGTTTTAGTCTGTCTCTAAACACCTGAGGGAATGTGCCATTTTCTGTATCAGACTCCTGAAAGCAACGAAGTGTAGGAGTGAGAAGTGTAGGAGCTGTGGCTCTCCAGGACCTAGAACAGAACATTGGGAGTTAATGTACATCTTTGTTTTCCTCAACAAAATTGTGTTATGATTATATGACTTGTGTCTGATGCAAGACTGTAGTTCTGCTTTCAAGAAACAGTACCAGTGCTGCTTGTATCAAGCAGGCTTTGATTATGTTCCTAATTAGCAGCCTTTTATCTGTATGAGATTATATAAGATTTTCTGCTCTTGCTGCTATTGTAAAAGAACAACAGAGTAACACTATTCAAACTGAAATAAACAAATCAAATTAGAATAAATGCATTGTTTTGAGTTGTTTTTTTTATACAGACACATAAATATATATATATATATATTTTATATACTGTAATTCACTGTAATTCATACTGGTCTGCTGCTCTGTGGCAGAGGTGAAGGAAAATTAAACTCTGAATGTGTGATTTAATTACAGTACTTTCTTCATTATGAAAATGTACATCATATATGGTCATAACTACTGAGTGGCATAACTGAAATAATGAACACCTGCTCAGAAAACATGCACCAACACTAAAAAAGACGTTTTCCTGACTTCTCCATATGAACATATGCACCCACCCACATGCACACACATATGCCTACGCACGCAGCTTTCTGGAGCCCACTGAGTCTGACTCTGATTCACAGCTCAGTGTTTCTCTGTCTTCTGAACCCAGGTTTCTAATCAGAGAATTAGCTTCAGTTTTCTCTGCCAAAATCCGCACAGTAAGCCATCCCACTTTGTCTACATTGTGGCTTATGCCCCACTAAAGCATTTGTCAGGATGTATGAGAGAGAGCAAAAAAGGATAAAGAAAGGAACAGACAGAGGAAATGTGCTTCCCTGATTTCCTGGGTGGCTTTATTAAAGCACAGTGGCAATCTTTAAATTTCTTCAGTATTGTTTCTGCAAATAAAATACATTCTTATATTCTGAATACATTACAGCTCAAAGGAATCCTCGTTCTGTCGATGTACAATATGACTGCAAGCCCGCGTGCTACTCTGTACCTGGTGTTATGGATACTTTTGTTGAGCACTGGGTCAGGCTAACTGTACATTCAATGTCTGGCCCAGTCTTTCAGAGTGTGATTAATGAGGGAGGAGACGGACAACCAGGGTGCATTCTAATCACCCCCAAGGACATGGAGCAATATGGACAGGAAGAAAGAGAGGAGCTAAGACGGGAAACACAAAGTTAAAGAGGGAAATAGAGAATATCCTGATTAATACAAGATGTGCTAAGTGTCTTCACTCGGTTATTTAGATGAAACACAAACCTGAATTTTCTAATGTTTCCCATCTGCAACCACACACACATATATTATGAC